AGAATAATTATAGAAAGTGTAGAATAATAGCTTAGAGAGGAAATATTCAATTATGGTGTAAAAAGCACAAAATGAAAAATGAACTAAACTAATTTCATACATTGGCAGTTATAGACAATTCCTTTGATCAGAAATCATCACTTAATGATTATTAGTGTTATGAACAAAATAGAGAAAATCCAGGCTGCTGTTTCAACATGTGACATGATATAATTCAAGTAGCTACAAAAATGGATTACAAAGAGTATGCACATGCATACATATTTCCCACAGTGTAATGGGAAAGGTAAATAAGACTGCAAAGAATGATGGATGCCACTCATCTTTTCTGAGTGATTAGTCTACTGCTGCTCTTTTATTAATCACGTCTGCAGTATTCAGAGACGAGCTGACGAAACCTAGAAATCATCTACTGGCATGATGGGAGAAGTGGTGGATAATCGTCTTAGATCCCACTGGTCACATGGAGACAGAAGGTCATTCGCTGTTGAGGGAATGAGATCCAAGAATTTGCATTTACAAAGAGAAAAAAGGCTAACGAAAAAAAAAAAACAGGTCCAAATGTGATAACATCTGTATTTCACTGACAGATTGCTTTTTAAGACCCTTTGGGAAAACAGAAGGCAGCCAAATCTTTCATTTTCCCACATGGCATTGCCTTAACTGAGCTATCTCCATTCGATATCGCCTGTTCATATTTGTTTGTGCCAATCTATGACCCTCTTTCCACGTGGTTATGTAAGAGTAGCAGTCAAAATGAAACTGTCCAAGTGCGAGTATAAAACCTGCTATAAATCAGGTGGTGAGGGTGAGGATGTGGTCCTCTGAAAGAAAAGTAAGGGACAGACACTCATTCACTCACTCACTCACTCACTCACTCACTCAGCAAGCACACTGTTCTTATTAATGTAGAATAGGGCTTCGTAATGAGTGTTTAAAATAGACTTGGTGTAACCACTTTATAAAAATAGTTTATTATAGAATACATGAGTTAGTACAGTACCTTAGATGTAATGACACAGTGTAATGACTAATTAATAGTCCATTCAACAGCCTGTGTTGGAGGTTATGTCCTTTAACCAGCACCAGATACAGTATGTGTGAAGTGGTTTGAGTATAAAGCCCAGAATATCGAATATTTCACTGGTTATTACTGTATGTGACAGGTAGTATCCCTAAATGCTCCATCACTAACCCTCCACCCATCCCAGAGGGAAACATTTAGAAACTGCTTTTATAACATTTTGAGTTCATATAATGAAATCAAGTCTTTTAAATAAAAGCATCTGTTTCTGGATCTTGTAGACAGAGTTTTACTTAGTCTTAGTTTTATCCAAAAAGCCAGGTTGACATTGTGTTTCCTACAGCCCTTGATCTGACTTTGGGAAGTGACTGATCAAACCCTTTTAATTGCATGTAAGATCTACAGCTGAAATTGCGACAGTCCCTTGTTGTTTAGATGAGACTTCTCAATCTCATTCTGAGACTTGAAAGTAGCACACACAGTGTGTCGGCACTTCTCGCACGGAGATGGATAGGCATAATGAGGAACAGTTAAGCAAATAATATAACAGTTAAGCCCAAATGGTTAAGTTTCTATGTACCCAAATGGGAGCACAGATAATTTTATGTGGTTCATTTATTATACATAAACATTGTATAATGTTTATTGTACAGTGATTTGGTTGATGCTTTTGTATGAGGCTGTTAAACAGGGTAAAATTATTAAAGCAAATCCATTAGATACACACACAAAAATACAGTAGCTCAGGTAGAGCAGTAGGACTTTACATATATAAAGAAATCTAATTCATAAAGGAGAGAGAGATATACAAAAGCAAATATGTATCATGTATTACAATTAATGCAAAGCACTACGTATAATACAAAATAGGAAGATTTTCTTTTATAATACGTCAGGAGTGGTAACTATGGCCTTGATACTGTATATGTTCATGGAAAATTCCCTGTAACTTGTGTGGAGGAAATACGTAAGTATATGTGACGTTTTCTTTGCAAAATTTGGTGTCAATTAAAAGTACCATTGTTAAACTTCGTTACCATTTAAACTCCCTTTCTGCTAATGATTAATTCTTGGCTGTCCTTCAGTGTTTTAAAATTCGTACAAAATGATTATTTTCTGCGGCTTTTATTTCAGTGTAGAGGTAACCTGGGAAACATCTCCTTATGTCTACTGCAGAAATAAAATTGGGTTCTTTACAAATTCAAGGGGTCTAATAGTTTACTGTCACAATTTACTGGAAAATAAATATCATGCGATTATCTTGTTTTGCTTTTCAGAAAATAGTGACTAGAGGAAAATACTGTCATTATCAAAATGAAAGTGTTACATGATTTTATAGGATTTTTTCAGTGTTTCCTAAAATTATTACAAATTAAAATTACACCTATTGTTTACTTAGGTTTGTAGTACTCTAAATCTGTACTCAACCAGAAAAGAAAGTGTTATAATCAAAAAGAGTAAAGACTGTGCTCAGGTAAGGCACAGAATTGTTTTGTGTTTATTACTGCCATATTTACTGTATTTAGCAAGATGAGACACTAAACCTTATAAATATGACTTAATTCATGAATTCATGGTTACTTTGTAAACACTTCACATACTGTATTTAACAGCGCATATTGATAATAATGGTTTTAACTTGCTGCCAGTGAAAACAGACTATTTTTTATTTCCATGGTTTTGGTTCAGTATTCTTGGAGTTGCATGAGAAAACGGATCCAAAACCATGGAAATAAAAAAGTGTGATTAGCACAAGGATTGTTTTCCCACACAGAAGGCATTGCATGTGGGTTTGACCTAAGGTTTTGCCCTTTGCTTGATTTCCTTTGGGCTCTCTTTACTTTGGCTTGCTGGATATAATTTGTTTCAAACTTGTGCTGTAACATCATCCTTCACTGCATGTTCCAGTCACAAGGATCCATTTCCCATTTCGTTTGAGATATTTCAAGATACAGATCAGTTGTTAGCAGCCATGATGCATTTGTTTTCTTTACAATTAATGCTTTGTAGCTTTTTAGACTCTGTAAATGTACTATACTCTACTGATAAAATGTGACTGTTTTCAGGAGACTGGCCAAATCCACTCTGCTGCTGATCCCATTGTTTGGAGTGCATTACATCGTGTTTGTTTCACAGACTTTGTCACCAGAATATCAAGTATCTTTTGAACTCGCCATCGGTTCCTTCCAGGTAAAACCTCCATTTGACTTATTACCATGTCATCAAAGGAACTAACTGTTTACAAAAAAAGCATCTAATGTTTTTTTTTTTTTAAATGTGATTGCAGGGTCTTGTGGTTGCCATCCTCTACTGCTTTTTAAACAGTGAGGTAAGTTCTTTTGAGTTGCACTCCATGTATGAAATGAGATATTGGATTTCAGACAGGGTAACATAATTGGGATAACCATCCCTTTATAAAAAGGCAAAGATTATAGCCTTAATCACACAGAAAGATGTAGCTGACATCAAATGTAGCCATGAGCTTTTTCAGCACTCATACAATGGATATCAAATTTTACATTTTGCTAACATATATGTGCATGATAAAGAAACCATTGACTTGTTATTGACTTATTAAGTTAATACTCTCTGTCTTCAAGATTACACCTTTAAATGTCACGAAGCGTCTTTCAGGACCCTATGCAGACAGCACAATCCGGAAGGGAGTGAGAAAACACGGGGAAAAAGACTAGGATAGGGGCTGGAAGAAGAACAGGGGGCATGTCCAAGGTGCGCTGGTGTTCGGGGCTGTGTGTCCAGGGCAAACAAGTCAAAGGGAGTCCGCAAGATAATCCAGGGAAAGCCAATGTCCAAATCTGGGTGATCCATCGTGACACAGATAAACGGAGTTAAAAGCAAGAGCCGGATCCGGCAAAGGGTCAGAAGCTCCCTGATCCTGGACCCAGATGGTCAAGATGCCGTTGTGAAGCCTATGCCGTCGAGTCGCTCCTGGACTCACGAGTAGGCGGGATTCCGGGCGTCCATCTTCCAAAGCTGAGCCCAGATTGTCAGGAACGTCTGGCTTTTATAGCAAGGGGGCAGGAACCGAAGGCAGGTGCAGGAGATTACGAATAAAACAAGGAAGGGCTGGAGCGTCCTTAAGAGGAGGGGTTTATGATCATGACATTAAAATGTGATAAAATTGACTAAGAATCATAAAGTCACTTTATAACAACATCCTGCCCTAATGCTGTTTAATAGCACTGTAAGAGATTTGATTCTTAAATTATATCATTTTAATGTTGTTGGATACACAAATGCTGTCCATTACTTATATTTGTATTGACCAAATACCTCTGTTGAGGGTTTGAAGCTAAATCACAAGTAACTTTATTAGGTTTTTTGTTATACAAAAATATTAATTTAACCAAGTAATACATTTTTGACCTAATGCTTTAAAAGCTATTTATTCCTGCCTCAGTTATTTTATTATACATTTACTTTTTATTGTGCCGTGATGAATTATGTAATTCATCATTTACACTAAGTATTCAATTACTCAGTAAGTACTGTGTCTTATTAAGGTGTTTTATATACATTTTTATAATACTGAAAAAATACAAAATCACTGATGCATGAAAACATCGAGCCCCAATTCATCAATAGTACAGTACTTAACTTAATGTTACTCATGTTGCTATCACTTCCCAAAAATTTCGTTTCTGACTGTTTTTTGGAAAACTCTTTTCAGGTACAAGGAGAACTGAAAAGGAAATGGAGGAGTATGTGTTTGAACTGGCATGTGAGCCGAGACTATGGATTACACAGATCTGTTTCCAGAAATGGATCTGAGAATACAACCCATTTTCATCGCAATTCAAGGGCACAGTCTTTCCTACAGACGGAAACCACTGTCCTATAAAAGAGCTGTTTTGATTTGGATATAAAGACCATCTATAATCTGGATGATATGTGAACATCAGACTATGTATAGTACATCTTTGAAGAAAAATAAGATGTTCACATACTGCTGCGATATTCTGTTCTTATGTACATGTTTTATAGAAAAATCAATTCCAGGGGCCTTTTTGTTTTCATTGTATTAATTATTGATTCAGAAAACCCACATTATACATCACTTATTGTGAAAACTAACTCCTGTCATACTCCTGATTTGTTGCAAAAATTATTCCAGTCTCAATAAAGACTGACAGGTTTAATATTTTTTAAGAAATAAGATCAACCAGAAAAGGAATCATAGAATAACTATTTTCAGTTTCTTTTATAATTATTTCTGAAAATTTGATTATAATGTTTTGCAAAAACCATACACCAATCTTAAGTTTGTGTAACACACTAGATTACACATTATGTTTGAGTAGATAGCTGTGACAGCATGAGTAGGCTGCAAAGGAACAAATGAAGGTTCGTTCCAATGTCAAAGGTAAAAAAAGAAGAAACAACCGTTCGGCTATAGAGCCTTCTTCAGGTATGAGGGAGAGAGTCAAAGAAGGAGATAAATAAGGTGGAGGAGAACAAAAGATCGAGTAGTTAATAAGGGGCAAGGAGGAAGTGAGAATGAGTGTCCAAACCCGGGAGGAAACGGAGGAAAGTGGTGAAAATTCTAAATCTGCAAACGAATAGAAAGGATTTAGAAGGAGACGAGTCTGTTGTTGAGAGAAAGGGGAAGGAGTGATCCAAGTTTCAGGATAATTGTGGTTTGGGACTTCTTTCTGCAGTAGGAGTTCCAAGACCCCTCTGTGAGGATACAGATTGAGAGATCAGAAAAAGTTTGGCCGTTAGAGGTGAAAAGGGAAACTATTGGTATGGATCCTTACAGCTCTCACGTTTCCTTCTCTTCTTCCTGTCTCAACAATGTAAACGGCTATTTACATTTAGGGTAAAAGTTACCACTTCTTCAATTGATAGCATTTTTTAAATTATTGACAATATCTTTGCCTCTGTTGAAATCTTCAAAATACCATGTAATTTCTCTAATTTAAATGAACAGCAGAGAGTAGGAATCCTTATAGTTTGTAGTGAGCAGTAGACCAAAAAGGTGGAATTATAAAGCATAATTATAGTAATCACATTACACTTCCAAATCAGAAATTATTTATATTATTGTATTTTGCATTGTTGTTCAAGGGGCTAGTGACTTTTGATTGGTGAGCAGTCGCTTGGTAGATTTGTGCCTGTAATTTATATTCAGCATAAATGTTACTGTATATGCAGCAATAGTCTATAATAGAGTTGCCACCTATCCAATTTGTTCAGGTTAGATAAGTCAGATTTCTCCATTAGTTGAAATTTGAGAAATGGGACCCTCAATGATGTACTGTATTACAATCCAAGGATAATAGGTGCACAATATCACTAAGAAAAAATATGTGCAATTTTTGTTTGGGTTTTCCTTTCTAATTTCTCAGTTCTTGCACATTTCTACAGTAACTCACCAAACACTAAGCTTCAGAATGTCACAAAGTGCACAAAGACAAATTAATTTTAAATCACAGGAGATATGTAATTGTCACTAGTGTTATAAATGCTTCCTAATTATCCTTTAAGTTGTCTTAAATGGTCGATAGATAGACATACTAACAACCATGTAATTGTAAAATTTAACAGCATAAGCCTTGTTGGACAAGAAAACGTATTATTGAAAACAACCTGAAAGCGTCTGTATTTTGCACAGTACAACCTGATATACAGTATTATGAACAACATTCAAGATTTAATGGAGAAGTAACAATAGTATCTTTAAAGGTCAAATAGTTACCCACATAGAAGTACCTTAAATACTTAAGTAACATGTCAGTTTTCATGTGCGTTCTATGTGAATGCCAGTAAGGAGCCCTTAATAACTCTCAGTGAGAGTGCAGCGAAGCATCACATTTTACAAGTGATTCTTGATTGTAGTTGTCAGGACATAAAGTGTGCTACTGCGTATTTGCAAATCGTTAAAAATTGCGTTGAATCTCCTAAGACACATAATTTTTCAAAATCAACATATTCATAATCAACATAAATCAACAAATGGCTGCAGTGCTTGTTGAACGCTTTGTTCTGTTACCTGGTGTTTTTCATATTTGTGTGATATATCCTACTAAGTCATGCAGCCCTCACTTATGAATTGACTTTTCATTAAGTTGTACAACTTATTACTTCTTCTTATTAAGATCTTTGCACTTAAAGGTGTCTTAATATGCTATTTCATCTAATAAAGGTAGCTTACTATTTTCTGTAGTAATGCTAAAACGGAATCCAACCATACTGAATGGATGTACTGAATGAGAAGATACAGTAGAGTAAAAGAGGCTGCAAATGAGACAAGGTCATTTTGACTCCTCTTGCTTATTTGGTTGCCTGTAGTTGATCAAAGAACCTAATCAATCCATTATTTGAACATTCCCAATGAACCAGCTTCCATAAGAGGCTTAGAGCATTTTCCAAAACAGCCCTATAACTCTGTGTGAAAATATCACCCCTCTCTTATTCAGTGATTCACAGCAGAAAAATCTTTTTCAATGGCACATAAAAGTGGCAAGCCATGTAGGTACAGAGCCACAGTTATGCAGCTTTGATAAGAATCTTTATAGAGTCAAGCCCGAAACTGAGGCTAGTTTTGACCATTAAAAACCAATAACTGAGTCAGTCAGTTTATTGAAGTTTTGGATAAAATTATAAGAGACAGATGCCCTTTGGCTCCTTTGAGGCCATGGCTGGCTGGCCCATTACTGTGTGATCTGTCTGCAAAACCACAGTTAATTAATATCTGGGGCCTTCTGTGAGATTTCATGAGTACTTTAAAGATCACCACCTTCCCACCAAATATAAATATAGCTACGTACTGTATGTCTCAGTTTTCCCATTTGTTTCAATGTCCCATTACGTAACCAAACACCAAGAAATAAAGTCCTAAAATGTTTTCTCCGGTCACACGCTGAATGTGTCAGTGAACAGCTGAAACTAAACTTTTTCGATCTCAGATAATCGCTCTGAGCGCCTGCTGTCAAGCCAACAAACGTCTGGTAATTTTCCATCCCACAGAATTTTTAATAGACAAGTTTCTGATTTCAGTATGTCCCGAGTCAAAAAAATGATTATTGTTCTGCCCCATGAAGACATTTAAGGAAAACTTGCTATCTCCCTCTATTTTGATTTGCCATTCACTTCAGACTTCGTTAAGTTTCTGCCACTTAAATGATGAAATCACCATTTCCAAGCCACAGCTTTCCATTGTTAACATAAAGAAAAATTATACATTTCTTATAATTATAAAAAATTATAAAATTATATTTATATAAAATTATAAATAATATAGTGCATATATTTATGAAGTGAATACAATTATATGTTTATACTATAAAAACATTTTAATTATGCTCCAATCTATGAGTTGGACAAATAGAGAAACTAATTTTTAATCAGTATTCCATGCTATGGTAACAGTACAACTAGTTATAACAGAGCAAAATTAAGTTCGTTTTGGATTTTCTTTACCCCATACATTCAACTGGGAATAACACATTCTTATATATATCTGTACCATGTTGTGTTTTTCTTAAGGACAGGTAGAAAGGGGTAGTTTTACGGATATTGAGTAATCCACAGTAAGTGACAATCAAAGAGTGTTGGAACATATGTAAATGTTCCTAAATACAGAACACATTTGGCTTTTATAGTTCCTCTATGGTGTTAGTTGAAGCTTTTTTATATTAGTGTTATACTGTATATACATTAATTTTTTTTTGCAAAATGCACAGTTCTTGGTTTGAAACCGAATTCCATGTGAAAAAATGAAATTTTCTGTTCAAGGAATTGTGAATTCTTATGTTTTCATCAGAATTAATCATTAATTGTAAAGAAATATACAGTATCCTCTTTTTTAAAAATCAGTTACAGCAGTTTGAGCTGGCACCTGGAAAATATACTTAGCGCAATTTTGTGACCCCTTTATAACCTCAGTTTGTTTAATAATAGCTAATAACATGATTACTCTGCACTATGTGAAGAATAGACCTACTTTATATACAATTACTAGTTTCTTGATACATTAATTTATTCATTTTAATTCCAAATCAAAAATGGTTTGTGTACTAAACAGATGCAAGACAGATATCGTAACAACATCCTCTTTTCAGTCATGTAAAAAGTTCCATCAATTTCTAACTTTGTATATTCATTATACGGTCTTGTTGGAATAATTGTTTTAGCATACAGCATACACACATACAGAAGTGCACGGCTGCCACCAAGAAAAAAAAGATCCTCGCCCTTATCTCGTAATTCCTACAAAGTTATCTCGTATTTACGAGATAGTAATTCTCGCATACTTTATGTGATCACGCAATAGTACAATTGTCATATCTACAGTATATCGCTACATGGGGACTCACAGTTTTAAGCAGTGGAACTGATTGCACGTATTGTACTGGATAACTGTTCATAACGGAACCATCATTGCTTTGTTCTCTAAATCCCACAGAACTGGTCCTCATGCTTGTAATGATTATGTTCATATTTGCTAAAAACTGCAAGATTTCATTATGACTAAACCCCAGTCGAAAGTAAAATTAATGCAGTACAAAATGCAGTACAAATTGTGCAGCACTGGACATTGACACGATCATTAAACCGAAGGTGCCAGCCAAGCTCACGGTAGCTTCTAGATGCGTTCGGTGCACAACGTAACAGGTTGTACTGTACTGTACATACACTGAAGTAATCATTATTATCTCGTAATTATGAGATAATTTGTTGTTTTGTAATTACAAGATACTCAAGCCAGTGCTGTAGAATGATAACAGTTCACTCAAGCAGTATCGTCTTTATTCTATTTACTTGTAGACAGAATGCCACTTGGGATACATACAGTACTGTTTTAGTTTCCAGACAAAAATGGTCAGAACTGCCAGACTAAAGAACCATGGCACATTCAAAAGACTGTTTCTCACTGGCAGGACTCCACATCATTTAGAAGTCAGACTTGGCAAATACTCTACCAGTTTAGAATTATATTGGTTTTAGTACTGTAATATTTTAAAACTAACAGCAGCCTCTGTGCCTGAATTAAATTCTTCCAGTTTTTTTTTCATGGTAAATTTTATGTTTATGCATTGAAAGCATAAGTGAATGTTTTATGGTCCTGGCAGCAAGGTGATTCAGATCCTTCAAAAGCCTTCAAGTGTAGACGAAAGACAAAAATCACATATTAAACTGAATTGAACAATATGATACCGTAATACAAACAGCATTCGACAACATTGCCCAGTCCGAACTCTTCCAATACAATAAGATCAAATAAATCCCTACCTGCAAACATCTTTTTTCATTATTCCAAAATTGAGTACTTTTAGGTATGAAGGAATTAAATGCTATCTTAGTCTCATTAACAGTTTCATTAACAGTTACAGGGATAATAGGAACAGAAACGTTTTTTTCTAAAATCAATTAATGTATATTACATAGTATTTTATCCTAGTGTACAAATAGGAAAAAAGATGCAAAATAAAAGACACCATTAAATGATCCACCATCCCAGGATGCAAGATACCTTCTTTGAGAGTGCTTAATTTCTTAATTCTTTTATTTGCTCAGCCTGGTAGTTACTGCCCCAACAATGACTGCAGAAAACATTATCTCAGAGTAAATTTTGTACCCCACTGAATATCAGGTAAAATTATATCTGTCTTATGTACTCTGTTATGTACCACATTATAGAGGTACTGTATCTTGTACAGTACATACTATTAGTACAAGTACAGTACACAAACGCATTAATGTGCATTAGTACAGTACTGTACGTTAATATTACAGTACACTGTATGCTGTACAAACCTGAAAGCAAAATGTTCCTTTTTGAACTATGTATGACTGTGAGATGTGAAATTAAAAGACAGAAACCTATACCTCACCTCCCAAAATGCACACACATCTACAGCACAGATGCAGTTTGTTGTAAAATAACATTTATATACTGGTAATATGAGCAGTTTGCATGTAAGGCTTCCAAATTAAAACCAGCTTCAAAGCAAATGGCTTTACCATCCTTACAGAAACAAATATGGATATAATACTGTATATATTAATATATATAATTAAAATATGGATCAATAAATCCCACCAAAGCTTATTAAGTTTTTTAAATGACAAGGAATTGCAGAAAAGATCCCTTGAATGTAAACTATAAAACATAAAAGCTCATTTCATGTTACTAATTATTTCAGTATTTGAATGTAGTACCATAGATTAATCTGATTTTCCGTTTGCTCTCAGTGCATGACAATTCTAATAATTTGTGTTTCTACAGTATATTATGTGTACAAATATTCCAAAAAAATGGAAAGATCCTTACATTTAAACATAGAAAGACATTATACTCATCTTAAAAGGTTTCTTACTACCGTATAAATAAGGCTTCAAACTAGAGAAGGCCACCCAGTCTGCTTACAGCTAGCTGTTTTGTTTTGAAATTAATTTTAATGGATTAATATAATTTAAACTATTTGCTTTTTTCTCTTTGTGCCAAATAAGTTTACAGTTTAACAGTGTGTGAGTTCTGTTTGAGATTTCAAATCATCTGAATTGATCTCCATGCATATTGTCTCTTACTGGGATTTATTATGTGTAGGTATTCTGAACTATTGCACTAACCAAATATCACAGTGAATGGTACTCTGCACATATACATCAAAGGAAATCAAATCTGGATTTTGAAACTCTACAGGCCACCTTCCAAGCTTTTTATTTAGATTTGTAGTCATGGTTACTCAACGTATAAATATATTTTTTAAAGTTCCATGGTTAGATGGTCAATAATGGTTCAAATGCCAGACAGAAAGAGCATTTTGAAGAGATGGTATACTGTGCTTAAAGTATGACATATAATTTACTTTTAAATAATAATATATCATAAACAATATTGTACGTTATGTAAGATGGCATATATTGTATTATTCAGATAGGGAGAAACGTTTAGTCTTATCTCCTTAATGCCTGAGATTTAAAATTTAGTTTGGCATTACTTATGCATATTTTATTTTAAAATGTTGGAACAAATACATTTTCTGCAGTTGGACATTTTGCCACTGATTGTCAGAAATTTGATCAAAATATTTAAGGTCAGATTGTATATCCACCCCTGGTTGTCACAGCCCAACAGAAATCTGTCACACTGTGTCTGAGGCAAAATAAAGAATAATTAGAAATACAAACAAATGGAAATTAGGAAGTACTTGAAATAGCTGTGGTTTATTTCATTATTGAATTCAACATTTAAAAGCAGTGATGAGAATGAAGAATGGATAAAGCAGGGCATTTTATTGCAGCAATCTGATTGAGTATAGTACCTTGCTCAAGGGTACAATTGCAGAATCCCAGTTGGGATTTAATCCATGAATTTGATCCCATGACCATCCAGTACACTGCTCTAATTAGATTTTACAAGACCCTAAACATAATTATAGACTTGTCTGAACAATTGTAATAATAACATTGGTAGTGTTTATCTTTTTCCTTTGTTTTAGGAAGGATTATCTCATCCGCAGTGTTTTTCATGGCAATGTGCTCAGTTCATATGTAAGCACCCGTATTGTTACTCTTGTTTGAATATTTCATTGTCCTTGATACTGTCCAGTCAGCTTTAATGGAAATATTCAATACTTCATTCAATAGCTGCTCAATATTCAAGGTGTTGTAACTTTTAAGAGTGGCAAATTAATGCTGTCTTGTCACTCCAGGCTCTACCACTTATTACTTTTGACATGAATACAGTAAGTATGCTTTTTGGCATTTGTGGGCTTTGTATTAGGTTGTCAAGTATAATCAATAAATTGTGCAATATAATGTACTGTGGTGATGCTAGCACATGATAGAGATGTTCTCTTTTTAGGTTTTTTTTTCTTTTGAATGATGCTTTGGACTGTCATTCCATGAAACCCTCATATTATAGGGTAAACTTATTAATTATTAATTTCATAATGTGTATTCATACTTTAATATTTTAAAGGGAAATATTATAGAAATCTAAAAAGGAACACATATTCAAAATTATACAAATATGCCAGGTAAGTGTTTAATTTTGTGTATTCCATATTTAAGGAAGCAAACAATGTGGTAATAAATAATATAATGAAGGCTGGGGCTTTTCCCAAGTACATTTAGATATATTCTGATATAGTCAAGCACTTAGCACTAATATACTGTATGTAAGTGTTGGAATCTTTTTACCATATATCTCTATAACTGCTAGTTTCACATTTACAGTAGTTTAATTCTGCTTACAGAGAGCACAACATTGAG